AATCTACTAGTATACATAAAATTTTAAGCTCTATCCGAATTTGAATGTTTTACATTTCGGAAACGCGTATTGTCAGAAATATACGCGCTTCAAGAAAAACTTAATTAAGACAAAAACTCGCTTTTCGGCTTAATTACTAAATTCTAAGTTCTAATTTTAGTCTCATTAGACAGAACACGTAAAATTACATATGTTTTACTCGGCTTTCTCTTCGGAAACATGGTGCAATCATTTCAGATTCAACCAGAGATTGATCTCAAAATAAGTACATGAAGAGCAAATTTCTTGATGTCTTTTAGCTCTTTCTTTCAATGCTGTTTACTTACTCTAAAGTTATCATTCAGCTTATTCCACTTTTCGTATCTTTTATATATACGCGTGTTTTCACTGGAAAACAAAACTGTATTTTTTCTCTTCTCACATGTTTTGTCGAACGTATCACATATAGGTCGATACTTGTTATATATTTCCTTGAATACCAAACGAAAATTTTCCTTATATGATAAACGTTTTTTTCTCATTCAAGTGACACGCAGATATGTGCGATTTGCATGGACGGTATGAGTGAAAATTTCGAAAAAAATAAACTTGAATGAAATCTTTTTTCCATTATTAGGTTATATAATGGTAACATTGGTGATTAAGGAAAAAACGTTTCCCGACTGCCAGTCTCTTTGTTCTCTTAAAATTCAGCTTTTTCTTTAACATAGCTAACTTACTATCCGTTCTAAAAAAGGCAAGACCGGCCATTATTTTTTGAATAACCCGAAGGGAACACAAGATCAAGAGTTGCGTTTTTCACCATTCGAAGGCCAAGACTTGAGGCTATCTTTTCATGAGCAAAACTGAATTTCGGAAAAATTTTCGAAGCCAGTTTTCCGGAGGATCTTTGGAAAACCAGTTCGGTTCTTTGAAAACTGACATATAAACCTATGAGTTTTCTTCATAGATATATAGCCTAAAGTGTCCTCTACAAAACTTGCTCCAAGTGACATCTTGAAAATCCATGGTTCGGGAGCTATGGACGTTTTTCCTGAAGCCTTAGCACTCCTCTGCCGTTAGGTTTGGGACTGTCAAAAATGAATGAAAACATAGGTTATCGACTATGCTGAATCTCGTGGCAATGTTAGTTTTCAGATCAAAATGCAACAACCGAGTGAAAACCTACTTAGTGTCCTATAAGTCACTGAACTACTTTGATTACGAATAACTTTTGATAGAAGCAAGAAAGAGACCTACGGTTTCAAAAGAGGAGACTTGGAGACATGTTTGCGTAACCAACATTATTTTCAGAAGAGTTTTCTGAAACAGGTTTTCTAGGAGATCTTTCGAAAACTACGCCGTTTATAAAGATTTTCCAATAGATTGTATTGTTTTTTTCTCATAGGCTGATAGCTCGGGTTGCCATCTCCAAAACGGAGGTAAAGTGAGACCTTGATTTTCCACGGTTCGGGCGTTGTATCAGATTTCCTACGAGGCCCAGAACTGGTACCCGGTGACTATTAGTAGCCTGAAAGACTGATGGACTATGGGTAATCGACAATGCTGAGTTTTGTGGAATTATTTATTTTTAGAAATAATTCTAAAACTCTACCGAAAACCCAGTTTTACGAAAATTAGGGTTTTCAGGCTCTTTTCACCTAATCACATGCGTTTAGCCTTCAAGACTAAACGCATGTGATTCAGTGGAAGAAATAGTGAGGATTTACATAAATCTGGCCGAACAAAAAACTGCCGATGTAAAAAACGGTGAAAGAAAAAATATCGAAAGTGTCACGAATGCAGCCCCAGTTCATTCTTTCACCAACACTGTTTGATTAATGTGCACCTCAATCTATATCTTTCACTGATACATAAATTGTTTACGCTAAAGGTGCATTCATAGCACTTTCGGTATTTTTTCTTTCAACGTTTTTTACTTTCGGCGTTTTTTCTTCCTACCAAATTTATACATATCATAGCGAGTATACGAGCATCGATTTTGTAGAACCTTCGCATTTTCCAACTTTCTTGGTAACGGCTTGATGGTTAAGGCTACGCAAAGTCTCAAACAATATAAAAATTTTTCTTCGCAGTTCTGAGTATTGTGAGGATATATACCCTCGGAAAAAAATCGTTTCAGTCCGTATTTCCAATATATTGTCACTATAAAAACACATTTTTTAAAAACTAATTACATATTCTGAAAGCGCGTGGAGTTTTCTATCATCCTATGTATTTATATTTTATTTTAAACTTGTACAATATCAAACTAAATTGAGCACAGTAAAGGTACCGTCATGTTCAGATTCGCACAGATTTGATTTTGTTGCTGTCATCAAAATTAGTTTTTTAAATGTTTTATCATTATAGGATTAGTCTTTTAAAAGTGCAATTGTAGATTCTGATAGAGCTTGGGATTCTCTATCACCCTGTATATTTATCTATTTTCTTGCATTCATAGATTGAAAAATAACTTGAGTACAATGAACACACTCTCAATTGACAAGTACCAAAAATCAACATTCTTTCCTCACTGTTATACTTTTCTTTTTGAATTTATTATTCCTATAAACGAATTTCTTTTAAAAACAATTATCGATTCTGATCAGAGATCGAAAAGGGGCGAAGATACGGGGTGAGATACGAGGTGAGATTTTTGGAGAGATGACACGAGGCGGGGTGAAGATATATTTCCAAAATTTCCTCGTACTAAAATCCGATTAAAAAATGTTTGTATATTAAACCTCAATGCTGAATACTAGTGTCACTGATAAATATCGCTGTGCTACAGAATTTCATCTTCACAACATGTTCAGGTATAAGATGGATCAACAGCCAGCAACATTATAGCTTTTCTCTTCTGTGATGTAATGTCTCTCTTAATTCTCTCTATAACTCATCGCAGAGTATGCAGGCTTTGATCGCTGATCAAGGATATAAGCTGTATGGGTTGAGCAGCGGGAGTAGAACAAACTATAGCAATGCACAGGATGGGGATCAGAACACCTCAGAGTTTACTTTTGGACAATTTAGTCCAAAAGTAAATTCTTTGCATTTGAATTCACAGTTCAAGTGTTCGATTCTATCAACTGTGTAGTGTTCCTTTGTGCTTTGCTTCTTTCTTTCTCTCTCTCTCTCTCTCTCTCTCTCTCTCTCTCTTCAAGACAAGATAATAGAGATGAGTCCATTTCGATTATTGTTTCTTTCTCTTTTCTCAAATAAGCGATCATAAGAGAAAATACGAGCATAAAGAAGTGTTAGCAGCAGTAGTGTTGCTGTTGATGTTTGTTCAGAAAAAGATGAACTTTTTCTGAACAAACATCAATTTCAACAAAACAAACTGGAAGTTCTTGTGATGAAACGCAGGTTTCCTGTGCAAAAACATGACCTTCTTCTGGCCAAGTATCAGTTTCAACCGAAAAAGAAAAAAAGTTCTTGTGGAGAAGCATCAGTTTTTTCAGTATAGAACCTGAATTTCTTGAGGAGAAACATGTGTTTGTTCAGGGCAGATCTTCTGGTAATATGATTTGGGCTCTATGTGAAACAGTAACGGGTGAGCAAGAACTTTCTGGAAAAAATGTTCGAGTATTGCGCTCATATTCAAAACTATTTTGCAAACATTAAAGGGACTACTTTTAGGCATGCAACGGTAACCGCAAAAATACGGTAAAACGATAATGGTAAACCAGTAAATTATCGTTACCGCTGTATGTCTAACTGTTTTATAATCTGTGTTTCATGGACTTTCGGAATGCGTCAAAGAATTTTCTCTCGTTTTGTGCTGCAGAGCATATATCGTCATCTTGAAACATGACGGACTTTTGTTTGAATAAGAGAAACAAGGACGGCCGGTAAGGTTCACTTTTGTACTCCAACACAGTTGAAGGTCTTTTGTCAGAAACATGTCAAAGTAACGCCTCGCACATGAGTGAATGACGTAGTGATTGTACCGTTTAGAAGAAAAAAAAATAATAGGAATATTAAATATATTAATAAAGGATTATACGATGATGAAACATTAGAATTGATATCAGGATCCAGTTTTGAACGAGAACAATTATTACCTTTTGATCAGCAATTATCTCAACAACCATCACGAAATGCTCTTGTGTTCTACAGTAGCTCATTGATTCGGCTATGGTCAACTCTTGAACAAGACTTTTCTCACTACTCGGTTATTATTCGTGGCTTTGGGGATTCAACATTGAACGAATATGTTCACCAATTTAAACGTCTTATCTATCCTGTTTATCCTTTGAAAGCAATCATATTTTATGCTGGCGAAAATGATATTGCCAGTGGTACACAGCCACTACAAGTCCTTCAGTATTTTCGAGCCTTCATCGCAATTGCACGTAAAATGTTTACAATCATCACCTCGAATTGGTTATATATCAGTTATACCAAGTCCGTCAAGAGCTTCGTTTCTATCACAAATTTGCGAAGCAAACGAACTGATTTTGAATGAAATTAAGCTGGTTAATGATCAAAAATTAAAATTTCTCGATGTTTTTAGTTTAATGATGAATCAAATGGAACCATAAGATAAGAATTATTTATATCCGATCGACTGCATATGAATGCAGATGGTTTCAAAATATGGACACAAGCTGTCACACAATATCTGATTGACGAAAATCTAGAGTCATCAACTACTACAACAACATCAGCAGCAACAGAAACTATATTAAAGTCATCCACACCATTTCGAAGTCTACTCATCTTGATCTTTACAGTAATAACCATATTTCCGTTTTAAAAAACTGTCTCAGATTACAGAGACTCGTCGAAGTTTGCAGTTTGACTTGAGTTTTTCTTTCCCGCTCGACAACCTCATTGCGCTGCATGCGCATTGCAAAACAAAGAAAACTGAGAACTAGATTCGAACTCGTATACTGTTTACTCACACTGGTAAAATACCGACTGATACCGCCGGTACAACCGACCGGTGTATCGCGCGGTTCGGTAGACCATGCGGTAATTTCACATCTCCATTGGGTTAACCTGGTAGACTGGAAGAAACTCAAATTTTTACTTTTATAAAAAGCCGCTTAATTTTAATTACATTTTTAGTCGTTTCCGTTGTTTAAGAAGCTCGAAAGGCTTTTTCTGAATTTAGCATGTAAAAGGAAATCCAGAAACGTGGATTTAGGAGTCCTTAGACAGGTCTGGCGCGAGACACTCAGAATTTCACCGGAGGCAAAATATTTTTAATGATTTTCTCGAAAAATTAAACTGCTTCTCCACAAAATAAAAATTTTGAGGGGGGCTGACTATAAGCTTTTCGCTGCACGAGCTTTTCGCCAAATTTCTTTTTTTATTTGGCTGGTGACAAAAATTATTTTCAATTATTGGACGACAGAACAATTGAACTAACTACAAAAACAATACTTTAATCCATAATTTTTTCGTTTACCATCATCATTTTTTTTAGAATGTGTTCTGTAAGCCATTATAACAATGATTACAAACTGCCCAACCTTCTAGTATATCAGTTACACCATTTTCATTCTGTTTTCCAACTAAAGATACATCATTTTTCCATATTTCATTATTACCTTGCTCGTTTTTAACTAATTCAAAAAACTTAGATTTTAACCGGCTTTCAATTTGCTGTGGGGTAAAATTATTCGTATTCATAATTTAGATAAAAATTAAGAAATTATTTTATTTTATTTTGCAATGTGGAACTTATAAAAATACGAACAGTATCAAGATCAGCTGTTCAATCGTACTCGGATAATCCCAAGAAAAAATTAATTAATTAAAAGTGCATGATTTATTTGTACTTTATAGATTTTATTATACGATGTGAGGACAACGATAGTACTACATGTAGTTGTTTAAATTCTTGTGCTTTATTAGACGTGTGTTTATATCTGTAATATCAAGTCTGACGTCCTATTTCACAATACAAATTAAATAAAACTAACTTGACGGTTCTTTTTCCTGTTTCTTCTTTCTTACTTTCTTAACTCTTTAATAATGATACGGACACTGAGTGAATGAATCATTTCCGTGTCAAGTGTATTACTATACCGTCTTGTTCCGTATGATTGATTATTAAAGGGTTAAGAAAGAAAGAAGAAACAGGAAAAAGAACCGTCAAGTTAGTTTTATTTAATTTGTATTGTTTCGAAGCGTATATGTACAGTTAGTGTGTAAATGTAATAGTCTGTCTCAAGCAGTCATTTGTCGAATGATGAAACGTCACGAATAATTTGAAAATAAATTTGGGAAGAGATTCACTATGTCAAATAACAAAGCCAATTAAGACGAATTTGGGTTAGGAAGCTCCGGTATCGGCATATCGAAAGTNTGCTAAGATATTTTAAACAATAAATAATATGACTTTGTCTTTGAAAACAAATTGAAAGAATAAAAAGAAAAAATTTACATTTCAAATAAAATTGTCACTCTCTCTTTCCTTAAAAAAAACTACTAGGCACCCATACATAGTATCTTTCTGATGAAAAATGAACGAATATGCACAACTTAGTGAAACCGGCCGGTCCAGCTCACTGAACCGGTCCGGTGCGGCACCAGACCGGACCGGTTACAACTCTGTTGTACAAAAAATGGCTGAATTATTAGAAGGTTTTAGGGATGTGGTGAAAAGAGTACAAAGTTCACATTACCCATCGCTAAATACTGTTGTACCATCAATATTTCATCTTCGAGACAGTTTGATTGTTACGAAAGAAAACAAAAGAAAAGAAAAATCTGATGTAGTTTTGAAAGGTATATAGCCATAAAAAAGAATGGGTACTAATTTAAACCAGCACCGTTTATACCAGGAAAGTATGCTGATGTATCCTATATGTAAGTCAGACTATTTCAACTATATTATAACCATCCTGTTGTTCTCTTATTTAGGAATCAATTATTTTAAACAACGTACTTTAATACTGCTTGATGTTATGTTCGATATTGAAAACATACATTGGTGTGCTTATTTTTTAAATCCCAAAACTCGTCACTTAGCAGGTATAACAGATGATGAACGAACGTTTTGCCATACATTTGTGCGTCAAGAGCTCAGAATATTGCTGCATTATTAACTAATGATGAAGCAACAGATGCATCACAAAAGAATTCAACGGCACCACCCCCATCAAAAAAACGATGTTACATGAAAAAACTTTATAATAAACCCACAACACATAATCAACCAAAATTGAGTCCAAAAACTGTCAATGATCTTCTGTTTAAGCGATTATCAATCTCTCAAAAACAACAAATACGACAACAACGACAAATCAGGCAAGATTATCATATAAAACAAAAATTCAAACAACAAAAGAGAAACTCAAATGATAAATTAGAACAAAATTGAATATTAATCCTACTTAATACGAATAAAATGGACAATTTCTTATTCCTCGAAATAGGCAATACAATATAGAATCTATGCTGTACAACTAGATACATGAATGTTTTTTTTTCTTCGTTTCGGTAAACATCTCTGTCTATAATGATAATAAATGGAATTAAAAGTTAAAGAGATACTGTATATGTTTGCAAAAATGCATTAGATATCCGAGACTTTAGTTGCATGCGAGCCGAGCCTCGAGTCACGATCCTATGAGCTGGATCGAGCCCGTACTAACCTTATAACATTGTGGTCGAGCCACGAGTCGCTCTCTAGCGAGCTCTGGCGAGTGCGAGCCGTCGAAAACTCTGGCTCGCCCACCTCTGGTCCGTATAAGGTCGATAATCGCAAACGCTGCTTTTCGCAACTTTCTTACACGTATACGACTAACCGTAATGTTGTCTATAGGTGCTATGTATCGTCATGCATGAGGTACTTCGCTTATGGTTTTATTTATTATTATACATGCTGTAGACAGTATTTGATTCCGAATGCATTACGATTCATAGCACCCTATATGCAATACAATCGTTCTCAGTTCTTTTCAATTTCATTCCGGGTAAAATCAGATACTTTTGTGCGCTAAAATGTTGTTGTATTGTCGCAGATAGTTTTGACGCTTAGTTTTTCTGAGCAATTTTATACCCATTTAATCTAACTTTGAAAATTTATTTTGGGCTGCATGGAAAGAAGGACACCTCAAACTATCTATCTACGTGCAAATCAGAGCTTGCTAAGTAGTTCTGTAACAGAAAAAATATATACCAAACCATCTGCAAAGAAGAGCAAAAACGGGTGAAATTCCGTAACGGTCACTCTTATTCGATTTCCTCTGCTAGGGAACTAATTCAAGAAAAGGTCAGTAGTGTTTCGGATAGCCCAAACTGTGAGCTTTAATTTGGCAATAAAGTAATCATTTTTAAATTAAATTTAGGCGAGCGATGTCAGAATTATTACATTTTGGCTAACTTGCTCTATACAACATGTATATCAATCTGTGTGCATTTTAGACATTCATCTTCTCTAGATATTCATCCATTCTAGACATGTATCATCTGTAGATATTCATCCTCTCTAGATATTTGTCCACTCTGGAAAACTTTCACGATAAGCTGTATGCTTCAATCTCTAAGGCCATGAATGTCTAGAAAGGATGAATATCTAGAGAAGATGAATACCTACAAAGCATGAATAGCTAACGCACACTACGTATACTCTGTTGACAGTATATGCTTTCAAATTAGCCAAAATGTAATAATTCTGACATCTATGGTTTAGGCTATATAATTTACATTTTACTGAAATACGCCGAAAAACACTTCCATTTTTTGAACTTCCGTAACGGCCTCTATTTTTTGCGATAACTTCTGATCTGCTTGTTCAATCAAGCTCAAACTATTTTTGGTAGTAGAACTCCCTAATATCCATCATTTGGATAAATTTCATTGATAACGTTGCTTCTTTGCCGAGAAAAGGGGCAAAGAAGACGAAAACATGAAATTCCGTAACCTTTGGCCAAGCCGATAACTAGGACTTTCTAGAAAACAGCTTAGTGTCTTGTCGTTTTGTTTTCCGTTTTATATACAATTGCACCATCACCATTATTAACGAATACCGCGACTAATTCAATTCAAAAAGTTTTTAGTTATTCAGGATTCTCTCGACAATCATCTACATTTTTTTCCTAGCCACTGTTACTGCCATATTAAAAAACAAAATGTTCGGAAAGCCACTCTATTCAGCGTGGAAAACTACATACGGCACATTTGTGGAAAACTGTGTATGACACTACAAAACGAAACTGCATATGACACATCTCTGGTAGAGAATATTTCTGAGAAATACATTTTCATTCGAAAGATTTACGGTAAAAAGTTTTGTATTTCTAATTTTATCGGCGTAGTCTGAACTTCAGTCAAAAACCAAATAAGCCTATCGATCGAACTGGTGGAGATGTCTGCGACACACTCGTTAATTTTTGTGACGGAAGTCGGTGAGAGAATGTTTTCTGAAAAAAGTAGAATATCGAAATAACGTTAGTTATGTCTCAAAATGACCACTACTAAATGGTCATTTTATCTGCATTCGTTGCGCATTTTTTCTGACTTGATTATTAACGGCCAGTGTTTGTATTATTTTTGATAATCATCATAAAACGACCAAGAAATTAGACCATTTCTAGGTCGTTTTTATACCACTGATTGATCATTCGCTGGTATCAATATAAAAAAATGTGAGTGGATAATATTTTCTACTATGCCTAATACCTATCCTTCCATGTCACTTACTATTAACGATATAAAAGTTGAACGCTCAACAGCCATAAAATTACTTGACATGAGACCTGTACATGACCTCACTTGGAAACGTCACTTAGAACATACTGCGTCTAACTATACAAAGATATTGGGATCTATTTCTTGTGTGTTTAGGAATTCACTTGTGTAAAACTTGTGTTCGCTCAGCTTTGGCGTATGGTTCTATCATTTATAATTCATCCTATTCTACGCACTTATCTGTATTAGACAAAGTACAGAATCTAGCAGGTAGAATCATACTAAAAGACTGGTGATGTATCCAGTTCTACTATCCTTTCGAATCAGTTGAATTTATCACCATTATCCTAGGTTGCAGTGCTCTTTCTGATAGCAGATTACCAAATTTTTGCTGTGTGTGTGAGTTTTTGTTTTATCGGGTGTTACATTCAAACAAGCTCTACCTTTCTTGTAATTACAAAAACAAAATCTATTCATTCATCCTTCTGTCATATCATTAAGTAATCATTAATATCTCATTTGCCTTCACCTGGGTATTATTCTTCTCTGTCACACATGACTCGTCGTATGGGTATTTCTTATGTATTTTATTATATATATATGTTAGTAAGAATAATAGGACTAAAGTCACCTTTTTATGAAAAAGGTGACTTTAGTCCTATTATTCTTATAAAAAGGTGACTTTAGTCCTATTATTCTTATTAAAAATTTTCACCTTACGAAATAATTCTTCAAATATGTTAGTATTTTGTCCACATCTTTTATATAACTTGTTTGTTATAAATTAGAAAATTGTAGAGTGATTTCTTCCTGACGATGCAAAATAAAATTTGCGAAACGTCGAAAGAAAACAACTATTCATATTAAATTTGGAGTTTTACTCCTAAAATATGAAATTTAGAGCTGCTGTTAAATTTCTATTGTTTATTCAGAAAATTTTACCCATTAAAGAACAAAATGGAGTTAGTTTATTTTATTTTGGTGCAACTAGAACTCTATAGAAAACAGCTTACGAGGGACCCTTTCGAGATGTCTCCTTCGGATTCCTGTGATTTCTACATGGATCGATAGACCTCGACCTCTTTACAAAGTTATAGAATTTACAAGAACAGCCTAAATTAAGTTCTTCTAATTTGAGCTGACGATGAACATTTAGGGCTTTTCTTGTAGATTTGCAAAGAAAGGTCGTGTAGAGTTGCGAACCGAAGAATGGCTTCAAAAACCTTCCTATTTCTCTGTAACTTACAGTCAGTTACACACGGCACTTTTCGGTAATCAAGCTCAAAATATTTACAAACAATGGACAAATAATTATGCTAAAAAAGCTGATCATACCTATGGATTTTCAGGACTTACATCAGAATATTTTTCAACATTAATCAACAATGTCAATTTATCTATTCCACTACATTTTATTGTTGAAGTTGGCAGCTTTATGGGTAAATCAACGACTACTATGGCACAGCTATTGAAAATGGACAAGAAATACGAAAATGTAACCATACTCTGTATTGATACGTGGCTCGGTGGTTTAGAACATTGGTTAGAGAGAGATCAGCATCGTCTAATGAGTGTACACGGTGGCCGTCCAACTGTCTACAACAATTCGTTGCAAATATTGTTGATATGAAATTAACTGAAATGATTTTACCATTTTCTACAACATCAATCTTAGGCGCACGTTTTCTACAACAACACAAATTTTTCCCACAATTAATTTATTTGGATAGTGCACATCTGCCAGGTGAAACACTTGTTGAATTAGAATTATATTGGCAGCTGCTACAACCTGGAGGAATTCTATTTGGAGATGATTGGGGATGGGATAGTGTACGATGTGATGTTCTGAGATTTATTGATACTAACCGACTGAAAATTGCTGTAAAACAAAATTCATGGAGTATACAGAAACCTATACTAGGTTGATTTGAATTTGAACAGGTGATTCTTCAAGGTGTGTGTTATTCGAACTTTCGTGTACACTAACACATGTGTACCATTTTAAAGTGATGTTTGATTCTTTTTAGTGTAGTAGCGAGATAACCTATCAACCATTTTTAGAAGAAGTACGACCATCAAAACCATTTTCAAATCGTTTTCTTTCAGAGTGTTTCCTCGACAAAAAATAATCTATTTACAAGAAAAAATCGTTCGGAAACAACGATAAAAATAGAACAGATGAAAGCTTTTAGTTCATGCTGTGGAGTTTTTGTCAATGGGTTATTACGACGATGCATCTAGGGTTTATTTCGTCGATAAATTCACTTTTTTTCTTCAGTACACTACCGATCGATCAACTTTTTCAGTAAAAATCTGTTTTTTTCTTCTTCTTCCACTTGTGCAAGTGTAATACTTGATCCTATTTCATTCATAACTCTGATGAGGGTTCAACAGCGACACTTTCAACTTGAAAGAATTGTTCGGATTTATTATAGTGGGACTCCGGTTTTTAGAATCTTTTCTTAATAAATTATCTATTAAAAACGTGGAGTCCTTTCACATAAACAAAATAATCACTTGGTTTTGTTATTGTGTCAAGCTTATTAAATGTGATATTAATAATAAATAAAGGACATGATCGGTTTTCACTAATTCCAGGTAAGCAACCAATCTATATTCAAAAGATAGCGCACGTCGAGTATGATCGAATACAACTATTTTTAAATCTTGAAACTGTGCACAAATAGTATTTTAGACCAAATCATTATTGAAGTGAAATGCAACTTTTTGTAGAGTTGATGTTGACAGTATTTCACCTATAACTCTTGTTCCTATGAACCGATTTTAACAATTTTTTTTTATTTCACTTCTCTTGCACTGTCCTACTTACACACCAAATTTCACCTTTCTAGCTCATCCCCTTATGAAGTTACGGAACTTTAACTTTGAAAAACAGCGGTTTTTTCGGAAGGCATGGGAGGGAAAATGCCTTTTCTGTGAAAGATTCATTCAAAAAGTGTACATAATACTAAACCTAATGTGCAAATTACCAAGTTTGTCAAACATGTGCAAAAGCTTTGCTCATGTACTATACGTAGGGGCAAGCTATTGGAAAAAAAATCGCACACTAGCAAGAAAAAACCTTATTTCTTGATTATAAAACAATTTATTGTGACTAGCGGAAAGAGGTTTATACAAAATACACATATAAATGACAAAAAATCCATAAACAGCACCAAAACTTTTATGTCTACATGTTGTTTTTCTAACGTTGATTTGCTGTTTGAAGCATTCTTCTTAATCATTCTCCATACTGGAAATCTCGCGGTCTGACTCATTGGAGTACATGTTATTATCATCTCGTGCATTATCATCATTGACATTACTACCATCGACCGATTCTAGATCATCATCATCAATATTACTATCATTGACTGACTCTAAATCATCATCATCTATATTCTGATATTCATATTTCCATTTTGCCACATTATTAATGTATGTACTTAATTGAGCGCTTTCTGGATTAAAAATAGGTATGTCCTTATGTTGCTGTTTTAACATAAAGAATCTAAAACATGCTACGGCATGTACACATGGACTGGAAGTGCGACAACCTTGTTTATAATCACAATATGTAAGGAAATTATTTAATAAATTGTTATTAGAAGCTTCATTTACACTACCGATCGATC